TGAAGGTGCAGAGAGACATCTGTCTGAGATCTGTTTAAGCTACACATGAGGGACAGGAGAGCCGGCTTTGCTCTTGGAGGGTGAGCTTGGCAGTGAGGTGTGTTAAGCTGGGTTGTCTCGAGAAACAAAGCCAGTAACACTCACATATGTGTAAGAAGGGACTTTATATCAAGAAGTAATTTTATATCCAGAAAGCATTCCAGCCGAGTCCAACTCAAGTTCATGGCAGGGAGCCGACAGCTGCTACCATCAGCAGCCCACATGGGGCCACCTCTGGAGGCAGACAGAAGCCCAGGACAGAGGAGGCAAAGGGCCAGAGAGAGGGGGGAGGAGTCCTCAGGGCCTCTCATAACAAGGCCACACCTCTCAGGAGGCATCATTAGGCTGTGCGACCGGTTGTATTCCACTCCTACAGGAGTGCAAGTTGACATAAACTCCAACTGCCCCACGAGGCCAGTGCTTTCTGAGGGCCGCCAGTGTCAGACAAATGTAGAGGTGTGTCCAGTCTAAAGAAAGTACTGGAGCAGGTCTGTCTTGGAGCTGATATCTCCCCCAGCACCTGTATCTCTCAGTAGAAAACACACACACACACACACACACACACACGCACACACCAACCTCACCCTCTTTGCCTATATTGGTCTCTCAATCTGGAAGGTACTCCGTTTTCATCTTATTTTATTCACATGCAATGTCAGGGGCCAATTCAGCATATCAAGCAGGGTCTAGTCAGACTGGTCATTTGAACAGGGACAGTGGAACATAAAGAATTGTTAGCGATGACAAGGCAGTTCACCCCTACAAGGGGTACAAAGCAGACTGTGAAGGTTCCCAAGTAGCAGTGCCTCAAGTGGCCACTCGCCCAGCAATGAGTGAGGGATTAAGAGCCTTGCACAGGGTGCCCAGCCCTGAGGCTGGGCGTCAGACCTGCAGGTGCAGGCAGGGCTGCCCAGAGACCCGCCGCCTTGGCAGGAAGCAGGGGAAGAAGCGTGGTAGAAGCATGAGCCCAGGCAGGTCCTGAGGAGCAGCTTGCCAGGTGGCGGAAAGATCTGTGGGAGGATGTGGGCTGGAACTGGTGTGCCACAGCGGCCAGCTGGGGGATGGAGAACCTGGATAGAGGATGGAGGCTGTGCTAGTTTGTAGGAGGAAGCTGTGAGCTAGCAAAGAAGCTTGCTGGAGGGGAGGGGACGACCCAGAAATGCTCTGCTCTGTCAGAGCAACCTCTTGGGTGGTCCCAGAGCTGACGATTGGAGGTGCCCACCAGCTTAGTGGTTGGTGGGGGCCCAGATGCTCTGTAAGGGCTCTTGATCAGGTGAAGCCTCTCACATACAGGTCTGCTGTCACCTGTGCTGCAAACGCACCCCAGAGTCAGCAAGAGATATGCCTTCCCTCCTCCTGCCGCTGCCTGCAGAGCCCTTGTGGACAGGGTCCAGCATGCCGGCAGAGCAGAAATACAGGGCCCAGCTCTCGTATCACAAAGCTGGGCGAAGAAGGGTCGATTTGGAGCTGGCAGAAAGTACATTCCTCACTGCCCCACACTGCTTCCCATTCCTGGGAACCAAGCCTCTCTCTCATCCTGACCCTCTGGGTTGTGTCTGCCAGCCCGCCCTTTTAGAGGCCCGCCATTGTTACTTTATAACTGTCATTTTATTATAGTTATGTTATTATAACTGTCATTTTATTATAGTTATAGTTATGTGTTCCGGTGGTCTTAGGTCTTAGCCCGCCCTTTCAGAGGCCCGCCGTGTTGCGTGTTCCCTGTTTTCTGAGTGGCTGCACTGTGTCTCCCCAGATGGTCCAGGGCAGGCACTACTTCTTCCGCAGTCCCCGTGAGAGCTAGCAGCACAATACACAACCAGTTTCCATTGGGCCAGCTCCAGCTCACGGTGACCCCAAGTGTGTCTGAGGAGAGCTGTGCTCCCTTCACAACCAGGAATTGACTTTTGCACATAGAGCTCCAGGTTTCCCTTCCACGGCACCTCTGGGTGGCCTCCAACTTAACCGCAGTTGAGCACATTCACCATTTGTGCCCCCCTGAACTCCGGCTGTGTAGGAAATGTCCAGGGAATGCCTGGTAGTTGGGGTGTTTCCTGGAGGGGTGGACAAAGTGTGGGGAGTTCCTGCCGCCTCTGTTTCTTTTTGGTGTTGTGAGGGTCAGCTCCCCAGCTGGACCGCAGAAGAGTTCTGCAGTGGATGGAATGCCCTTCCTCCTCGGCTGGGCAGCTGGGGGCAGGGATCCTCTCTGCAGGAGCTGGGCTCTGAGCCCACCAGCCTCTCAGGCCTCGCGCGTGGTGGATGCCTTTCTGTCTCACTGTTCGCTGCTGGTGAGCACATGCCCACCTCTGTGGGGTTGGAGTTGGGGGACAGTGATATGTGCTCTGAAAAGGTGCTCAGCTCGGGACCTGAACCTTTGTCTCTCACAGACATGCACCACTCCATCAGCGACCGGGTCCGCCCTGCCTTCTCTCACTTCCTCATAACCATGGCTCGAGCATGGCTCGGGCCAGCCTCGCCATCGACCCTCTCTCAGCCCACGTGCCTTCCACACCCGACACTGGCCAGCTCAGTCCCATTGCACATCCTTCGCGAAGAGAATTCCCTCCCACCAACCATGGATTCACCTAGGACAGTGGTTCTCAACCTATGGGTCGTGACCCGTTTGGGGGTTGAATGACCCTTTCACCAGGGTTGCCTAAGGCCATCGGAACACATAACTATAATAAAATGACAGTTATGAAGTAGCAACAAAAATAATGTTATGGTTGGGGGTCACCACAACATGAGGAACTGTGTGAAAGGGTCGCGGCATGAGGAAGTTTGAGAACCACTGGTCTAGGAGTATGCAGAAAAGTGGACAGAGAAGCCCGTTGCTATCAGGATGACTCATGCTCATGGGGCCTGTGTGGCCAGAGTAGGACTGAGTTCCAAAAGGCGTCAGTGGCTGAGGGTTTGGAGGTAGACTGCCAGAACTCTCTTCCTAGGGACCTCTCGATGAGTTCACACCTCCATCTTTTTCGTCAGTAGCCTAGCATATTAATTCTTGGTACCAGCTCGGAACTCCAGGGAGCACGCCTCTGTTACTCACTCTCTCACTGACCGTCATTGAGATGATTCCGACTCAATCGTGACTATAGGACAGGGCAGAATTGCCCCTGTGGGGCTCAGAGGCTGTCATTCTTGAAAGTCTGATCTTACTTGCATGGAGCAGCTGGCGATTCCAAACTGCCGACCTTGCAGTTAGTGGCCGTATGTGTAACCCGCTGCCGCCGTATATCAGCAGGGCACCGTGGGTACGCATTAAGAAACCCAAAGGCACTTCCACTGGGTCCTTGATGACTCATGGCAACTCTAGAGGCTGGGTGAACTGCCCCTGTGGGTTTCCCAGCTGGTAACTCTTAAGGGGAGGAGAAAGTCCCACCTTTGTCCTGAGGAGAGGCTGGTGGTTTTGAACTGCTGACCTCATGGTTAGCAGACCAGCATGTAACCACTGTGCCACCACGGCTCTGTGGGGGGCATGCACCTAATTCTCAGGATGAATTTCGTCCCTACTGCATCTTCCTGCCAGAAAAGAGACTCAGTGGGCTCGCTTGGGCCAGGTGTCAAATCCAAGGGTCTGTGTACATAGGGGTCAAGTGTACATAGGGCTCCCCAAGAATGGGCTGGAGTGGGTGGTGATGGCAGCGATGTCTGGCAGAGGCCAGGAGCAGTCTGATCCCGGAGGACATGAGGAGTCTGGGGCCTCCGCTCTGCCAGCTGCTGGGAGGAGGGATCCTGGGCTGCAGCTCTCTTCTCATGGTCATTCCTAAGGTGACGGTGTCCTGGGTGGGTCACTTGGCCACCGATTATATAGGATCTCTGAACATGCCTACCATCTTTGCACCAATTGCGCTCAGCTGTTCACATGGTCTCATTGCCTGAAACATAGCTTCATTAGGTTGGCATCCTTCATAGGCACTTATCAGAGTGTATGCCTGTCTTGGGTGTTCAGCCCAGGGCAAGGGGACTCTGTTCCCCAAGGGTTCTGTCTTCTGTGTGTGCCCACTGCCCTGTTTGCCTGCGAGGCGGTAACCCCTGGAAGGCAGGACCCCAATAGTTCCAAACCCTCAGCTAGGCAGAGTGATGACCAAAGATGTGCAGCCTGGGGCCGATGGGGACCACCTGCCAACTATGGAAAGGACAGGTGGACATCCAGGAACAAGTTAAGGCTACTCTGCCCTCAACAGCCTGCCAGCTGCCTACCCCATATGTCAGACACCACCCCCACCCCCACACACACATACACATAAGACTATTCTGGTGAATATGTTAAAAGAGCCCTGGCCTCCTGCATCCCATCCCCACAGCCCAAAGACCAGACTCCAAACTGCACTGCCACCAAGTTAATGCTGACTCACGGTGACCTTACGGGACAGGGTAGAGCTGCCCCTGTGGGTTTCTGAGACTGTCACTGTAGTGTTTGTAGATTTTCTTTTAAGCCCAACAACGGAATTTCTCATCTCTAAAGATTCCAGCACCTGCTTCCCGGGGCTGCAGCGAGCATGAAAAGAAAGAACGTTCGTGTGCCCGTTTGTTGAATTGTCTAGCCTCAAGCAAACATGAAGGCTTATGGTGTGTCTGACGGTTGGGCGGCAGGCATCACATGTTATAGGTGTGCCTCAGGGTACCCCGAATGGATCACCAGTGGAGCAGATGTTAAATCCTCGAAAGCGCTGAGCAAGTGGAGCCCTGCCCAGGCACATTTTGATGGAGAGGAGGAGATGGCAGTGTAGGTGCCTTCTGGGAAGGCGGGCCTCAGTGCGAGGTTGGAGTTGCCTTCCCTGGGTACCAATGGGGAATGGGAAAGTGTGCCTGTGTCTGCATGCATGGTGCATGCATGTACATGTGTGTGTTCTGAGCACCGCGGAGTAACCAATCGGGTGGTGATCTGAGGGGCAGGGCAGGGAGTCATGTCTGGGGTAGCCTGCACTCACACCATGTGGCCCTGCTCTGTCTCCCTGCAGGTCCACCTCCGCTCGGCCCGGCGCCTCTGTGAGCTCTGCTGCGCCAATCGAGGCACCTTCATCAAGGTGGGCCAGCACCTGGGGGCTCTGGACTACCTGCTGCCCACGGAGTACACCAGCACGCTGAAGGTGCTGCACAGCCAGGCCCCGCAGAGCAGCATGCAGGAGGTCCGCCAGGTCATCCGAGAGGACCTTGGCAAGGAGGTACTTGCCTCTGCTGGGAGAAGTGGGTGGGGTGGGGGGACCTTGGGACAGGACAGTGTGCTTCTGAAAAGGCCTGGAGGGGGTCTCTCTCCTGCTCCATACTGCTTGTGACACACCCCTGACGCTGAACCACATTTCACCGCCCCTTTCAGGGCTGAGATCCCAGAGGCCAGGAGGAAGCTGGGTGGCCCTCAGTAAAGGATATTGGTTGGACTGTTTGCAATTGTTGACTCTTTTTTTTCTTCCCTGCAATTAAAACAACCTAGTGTTTCTCAAGTGTTGAGAGTCGGCTGCATACCAAATGCGGTGCTGGTCCCTACCCTGTCTCTGTAAATGTTGGCACCAAACATATGCAGGGAGCCCCGTTTGCAGACAAAGGATGGAGGGTATTAAGGTAAAAGGCCCCAAGCACCATCAGGAAGCAGTTCTAGTGCACGGCAGTGAGATTCTGCGGACGAACTGTGCTCACTGTCTAGTGAATTGTCTGTTCTGGAACAGCCTCCAGCCTCACCGCCAGTGACAGGAGGCCCCGGGACCCCCGGTGTTGTCAGGCTGCTGGGATCGTCCGTGCTGCCTCACAAGGAGGAACACTGACCTCCTCAGGCCTTGATTTTCTGATCCTCGCTCCAGCCCCTGGAGGGCCAGCGAAAGGGGCGGAGGCCCTTCTGTACGGCAGCCCCGGCTGCCCTCCTTTGAATCCTTGCCAGTGTCCTGCAGGAGGTGTGGTGCCCCAGCAGGTCACCGCAGCCTGGACCCTTGCTGGCCCATTTTGGAGACGTTTTGGGCCGCAGCCTGAAACCACTAGCAGCCCCAGGAGTGAGCCGGCTTTCCGTGCCAATGAATGGTTAGTCTCAGGGACTCACACGGCAGTTCTACCCTGTGCAGGAGGGTTGCTATGACTGTGACAGCGAGTTGGGAGTTTGTTTCTTTGGCTGTAGGAGATATGGGCCAGGCCTCGGCCTACAAATGCTGTGGTCTAATTTGAGGGTACTCCAGGGGCCTCTACAAAAAATCCTTCCCCTCCCCTCTCACCGTCTTTGAAATTCTGTTCTTAGAAAATCCTTTGGGTCTTTCTGCAAGATGACCTTTCAGTCCAACCTTGTCTGAGCTGATGGCCTGTAGGGTGAGCACCCTTGAATAGAATGTGGAGGACAGAGTGGCAAGGAACCTTGAGCTTGGGCGCTGGAGCCAGACCAGACCAGCTTGAGTTCCTCTGTGCCCTCCCGAGCTGTGTGTCCTTGCAGAGACGATGTCTCCTCTGGACTCCCCGTGCCTGTAACATGGGAGCAACCCTGGTGCTTCCTCACGGGACTGCTGTGAGGATCTCGAGAGACAATAAGCAGAAGGTGCTCAGTGCAGTGCCTGGCCTGGAGCAAATAGGCCAACGTCATGGCTGGTGTGCTTGGAGCTGTTCCCTGCTGGTGGCTCTCATTCCACTGTGCTGCTTGTCTTGGACTCGTGGTGCACGAGTCCTGGGGCCTTGCCCACAGACTGCCCTCTGCTCACAATGTCTTCCTGTTTTTCTCCATCAAATGAGTCCTTGTGCTTCAAAGATGTTTGTGCATCCATCTACTCATCCATCCACTCATCCACTTACCCACCCACCCACCCACCCACCCTGTTACCTGTCTGCCCATCCACTCATCGTTCCACCTATCTGTCCATCCATCCATCCATCCATCCATCCATCCATCCATCCATCCATCGAAAGTCAGGCACTGTGCTAAATGCTGGGTATCCTGGCCCAACCTGCCTCTTCTGTGAAAACGTAACTGATTCTTCCTAGACCAATCCCATCCCTCCTTTGGGTGCTGCAGAATGTCACTCCCACCCACTTGTACAGCTTGTGACATGGTTAGCTATGTATGGCAGTCCTGCTGCAAGACAGCAGTGGTTTGGGGAGGATGACCATAGTTATCCTGTCCCCTTGTGTCCACAGGTGCTCAGAGCAGTGTCTGGCATGGAGTAGACAGATACCCTTGTGGGATTAGGAAGCCATGGATGGATGAGTGACAGCTTAGTGAGGCGAAGAGCTGTTGGGGGGCGGGGGTGGGAGAGGTTGGACAACAACCTGCTGCTGTGGTGTCACTGGTCCACACAGCTCTGGCTTAGGCTGTTGGCCCCTCAGTGTAGAGCTGGCAACAGCTGCCCCTCCCAGAGCCACAGATGCTCAGTCCGCAGTGAGGGCCTGGCCTGGAGAGAGGCCTCGTCAACTGGATCTCATAGAGGTGACAGCTCTGCAGCCCTATCTCCAGAGAGCACTGCTGCCAAATGGGGAGGGATTGAGCAGAGCCCTCTGATGGAGGGCTGGAGGCAGGGCCCGGGCCACAGCCAGTAGGTTGGAGGGGCCCCAGGCCCAGGGGATGCGATTGGCAAGACTATCGGCCCCTCCTTCCAGCAGCACGAGATTCACCCCCCAATTAAAACTAAAGAAATCACTGTAATAACAGTGTGAAGTGCTGGCATGTGCGCTCAGTGGGGTGGAGGAGCAGCAGGAGCTTAACCCTTGGCACTAACTTGTCTGTCGAGGGACGTGTAGGGTGGTGGGCAGCCAAGAGCAGGCCAGCGGCTCCCTCCAAGCTGGGCGAAGTGAGAGAAAGTTCCCTTCTGCACGGTGGGCTGCAGGGTTGGGAGATGTGGCCTGTGTCTGGGGGTCTCTTCTCCACCCCTCTGCCATGCGGGCCCCAATGTGGCTTGTGGCTCCTGGCCCCCCACATGCCTCGTGCTCTCGGGGGCTGGTGTCGGTCATGGTGCCGAGGGGGCTGGGAGCTCCGTAACCTCTGGTTTCTTCCCCCTGCCCCCGCAGGCACAGAGGCAGCCTCCCTCCTCCCCGGCCTCCTCCTCCTCCCTCCTGGGAAGACAGCATTTGTTCCCTGGTGACACACTTTCTCAGCCTGTGGGTGGAGGGAGGGGACAGGGGCTGGTGGGAAGGGGGGTGGGTGAGCGTGGGGGCGTAAGGGCGGAAGAAAGTCACTCACCGTGTGCCTTCCTCCTCCCCCAGCCCCTCCCATGGCACTTCTAGGGGAGTAGCTCCCACCCCCAGAATGTACTGGAGTGGGACTGCTATGCCGGGCTCCCCACCATCCCGAGTGAACGTATGGCCTGAGGGCTATAGAAGCCCTCGAAGTCATCCATATCAGCGCACGTCGCACGCCTTACCCAAGAGAAGCTGTTGCAGTCGTTGTATTAGGGTGCGTTCACAGAATGTCTGGCAAATACACCAGGCCAGTCGTTAAGTTGATAGTTGTATGTGGCCCACAAATATTGTTATAAATATCCAGATAGCCTTTGACAGAAAAAAGGTTCTCTACCCCTGTCCTAGACCCACCCCATGCCCAGGCTTAGGGGGCTCTCCCCGAGGGTGTCCCCAGAGCGGGGTGCAGGCTAAGTTGGAGACTGCAGCGCCCGAGAGGCTGTGCTTTGCCCTTGGCTCTGGCTCAAACCCAGCACTGGACAGCAGCGCGTCCATCAGCGTAGAGGACAGGGGAAGGGAGGGCAGGCACCGTCCTCCCCTGAGATGGGCCCAATAGGGCCTGTGCTGGGGCTCGCAGGACAGGATGCGACTTCAGACCTCTTGATGGCCGGGCCAGTACCTCTCCTTCACATAGCACAGCTTCAGCTGGGTGGAGAATCTTCTGGAAAGCAGTTTTCAGAGTGTATTTGAATGTGCCTGTCTTGGTAGTTTCTCAGTATTACCAGAAGGAAACTGACTCTCCCGCTTTCTCTTGGTGTGAATGGTAGGTTTAAGTTTTGGGGGACTGATTCTGGGAAGTAGTCAGGAGCCCAGTCTTCAGGAGAGAGGGTCATTTCTACTGAGCCCGATGTGGTCTCCTCCAATAGATTGAGGAAGGTTTTGGCCTGGGTTCTCTGCCTGCCCCCGGGGACTGCGGAACCAAGTGCAGTGCTGGCCATGGCCAGCAGATGGTGCCTGAGCTTGAGAGTCAAGAGGGGTGTGCAAGACCTGGACATCCCTGCAAAGAGGAGCTCTAATGAGGTGGTTCTTTCTACTCCCCTGCATGGTCCATGTTTTGGAAGGAACTTGAGTGGTGTCTCTGCATCCTCAATGGAGCAGACATGGCCCCAAAGCCATGAGACTGTTGACCAATCTGGCTCCCATGAGCTCTTAGGTCTGTTCTTAAGGACCAGGCACCATTCTATCCACTGATCCCATCCTTACACCATCCTCATCTGAGCTGCCAATCGTGAGGCCCCTTCCAGGCCCGGCAGTCCATGCTTCTGTGGTTGAGTACCTCTTCCTTCATCCTTTCAGTCGTGCTTTCTCAGCGTCTTCAGCTGGAAATGGTGGAAAAGGCACCACGAAGGGCACTGTGGTGAGGCAAGGACGGAGCAGACCTCTTCCGGCTCTGTGGTCTGTGGTCATGAGGTAGCACATTGCTTAGAGGAGGGTTTGGGGGAAGCAAGAGAGGCAGATAGGCTCTGCAAGGAGGCTCCAAAAAGTTTGTGGGAAAACGGAGTTGAAGGATAACAGGATTTTCCCAGTCAGTCTCTGAAGCTCCCTCATATTTCGGTGGGAGGAGGCTTCCCGAAGGGGGATCGCATCTGACTTCGACCCTCCAAGGTGGTGGGATGGAGGAGGGATAAGGAGGGTGCGTGGGGAATCCATCGATAACTAGAGTGTTGTCTTCCAGTCAATGGATCGAAGGGCTGAGCTTCCACAGCTGGTGCGGAGGCCGCCTTTAGAAAGCTCTGGCAGCCAGAGGGAGAGGAGAACATGGGCCAGGACCGAGCAGACAGGAGCTCGCTGTTGTGCCGTGGTATGGATGAGCCCCAGGTTCAGAATAACCCAGGGAAGAGTGGGTGGGGAGGAGCAATGCGGGCCCCCACCAAAGGCAGAGTCTGACCAAGGCCTGGCCGTGGTGGGGACGCAGCAGGCACATCTGGGTGAATGGATGAGGTTTTTGGCCCCAGGAACAGGTTGGGGAGACAGTGGGGGTGGTGACAGTTCATGTGTGTTCCAGAAGGTGATATGTGAGGGGGTG